TTCAGCGCCGTGCTGGGCAGCCACCGGCAGCAGCTGCAGCTGCCCACGGCCAACGCGGGCAGCGGAGCCGCCGCCTTCGCCTCGCAGCCCGGCCTGGCCGACCCCGGCTACGGCTTCATGGAGCAGGAGGTGCTGAGCGAACCCAGACTGTCCAGCGGCCACCAGGGCAGCCTGGCCGACGGCCAGTTCTACGACACCGACGGTGTCCACACTGACGAGCTCTATCAGTCCTTCCCCTTCGATAACATTTTACAGAGCTATAACCCGTGAGCTCCCCGGGCGCTGCTGCGTGGAGAGGAGTAATTTACCCTTCTGGAGTCCCTGCTTTCTCTTTCAGAATGTTGCTGTGCGAGTTCCGTGACATAACTTAAAAGGTTATTTATTGCAGCCCATAGTGGTGCCCGTGAAGAGGGAGGTGGGAGTGGGGTTTGGGGTTTCTGTACCTTAAAAAGTACCTTGTAGACGTATTTTTTGCGCTGTTGGAAGTGGGAACTGTTGACACTTAAAGCTTCCTTACCTTTGGGGACTGTAAAAGCTGGCATCTTCAGAAGGGTTAAAATTTCAAATACTTCACAGGGTTAAAGTTGTTTTGAAATAGCTATTTTTGCTATAGAAATTAAATTGAAATTTTGATAGGACAGAAATTAGGAAACAAAACCGGCACGTGAGCACTCGAGTTCAGTCTCATCTAATGAATGACGTCTGAGTTCTGCTCAACTTACTTGAAAGGTTTAGGTTTTTAACCCCCTTTCTATAAATATTCTTCTCCTAAAATGAGAACATGTATTGATTTTCCACGCTGTCACCACACTCCATTTGCTTTGAAGGCAAATTGACTCGTAAATTTTTTTTAATGACTATGTCATTGTTAGATATATTTAAAAAGACCGGAAGGTTTGAGTTTTTAAATAGTCCAGCTCTGTTGTAAAGGAAATCACTGCACAAGAGAAGGAACAGAAAGTGAGGACTTGTCTGCACTTCATCCAGAGTGCACTATTTTACAAGCCATGCCCCTGTTGCTTTAGGAGTGAAGCTGTTATTGCTCTGCAAGTTGTGTGTGTGTCTGTGTGTGTGTCTGTGTGTGTGTGTGTGTGTGTGTGCAGCTGCGATGCGAGTGAGATTTGGAAAGGCAGAAATCTCTGGAGCTGAAGTATCCGCTTACTCTTTCCTCAGGTATCCCGGCAGTTTCCTGCTATGCAAGTGACTGCTTCAAAGGTGGCTCACATCCTGCCTCCCTCCCCAGCACCACCCCCTCCCAGGAGAGCAAAGCCAGGGGCTGCCTTGGTGCAGCCTCAGCTCTATTAACAACTTTCAAAGCCATTTCAGTCAGTACTAATTAAAAACACTCCTCTGTCCTCTGTATCAGGAACCAGAACTTCCCTCCCACTTGATTCCCAGTCTTCGCTCTTAGCCCGAGCAGGAGCTGTTCCTGACACCTCCAGCTGCAGGTAACTGGCTGGGTAAGGCACTCTGGCCTTGGCTACTTTATTATACTGTTATTTTTTAAGAAGCAACACAGAGAAATGTCTGAGTATTTCTTAAGTGCCACAGCTGCTCTTTAGGGCAGATAAAGCTCAAAGGTCTCCGTTGCACAAATTGCACAATCAGAGCAGCGACAAAAAAAGCAATAGAACGCCCAAAACCCACCCTCCCAAATCAAAAAAGCCATTTGAGGTGTAGAGTTGTACACAAGGAAAGGTGCTCCAGAACCCCTCTGTGCCTTACAGGAAAGCAGGGATGCCTTCCCTGCAGGAATCCATTGCATTGGGAGCACTCCGGTGCTGCTGCTGGAATTCCACCACACGGGCCTGACACTCAGGGGAGCTCCTGAAACTGCTTCCCCTAACTCAGGTGCACAACAAAACTAATTGACTCTCCCTGTTTTAAAGCAGTTTTTACTCCCTTCTGCACCTCTCCTCCACACTCTCAAGCAATAGAAAGACCAAAAAAAAATAGGCAGAAAGTTTGAAACGTGTTGTTTATTCAGTTTTTTTTTTTTTTGAAGTTCTCAGTTTTAAGTATATTAAATGTAAACATTTTACTCACTTCATAGAAAGCTCTTTATAGTACAATTTGTTTTTACTGTATAATTAAATATTTTCAAAGTTCTGTTTTCCTTTGTAAACGAGTTGGTTTGGTAATTAAAAAAAAACTGGTTATACCAAGAGCTCAGCTTCTGCAACCTCCTCGGCTTCATGACCTCCCTCAGCACGGGAAAGGCAGGGAAAAGGGACAAGGTAGGTTATTGGTTGCTTATCCTGGGGTTTTCTGGGGTATTTTCTGTTCCCTGTTGCTGGTGGCCACTGTAAAACCTCAAGGCAAGTGAGGGCTCACCTTCCTCAGCAGGTTTTGTGGCAGAGCTGTTGGGTTTTTAGGCAGAGGGGCCAAGGGCACAGATGCTTTTGGCTGAGCTGCATTGCTGGTACAGCTTTCTCCAGGCCCAGCTGAGCTGATGCAAAACCAAAATGCAGGGGGAGGCATTAGAGGAAATACAAGATGAAATCTGGCTCTCACAAAACACCCACTTTGAGCACTCACAAAAATACTCCTGAAAACCAGGTGAAGGCCCAAGTACAACATGAATATTATTGCTGCAGTGTTCAGTACATGATGGCCCCGGAACTGGACTGGAAACAGAGTTCAGAGCCCCAGATTACATTTCTCAGTTTCGTATTTGCACATGGTTGGTGCCCAGGAACTGCCTCAAGAGCTCAAGGATATTAGCATATCAGCCTCCATCCCACCATTCAGATACTTCAGATTTACCATAAAAACAGAGAATTTTGGAAGAAAAAAAACTGGGAGAAAAATTTTGGGAGGAAAACCTGGGAAAACTTTGGAATTTTCCTCTCTGCCTTTCCCAGAGAAGAGCTCAGACTCAGCACACCCAGGGTCACCTTTATGGCCTTGTTTTTCCTGGATTCTGCCTGGGATCCCCACGTGCAGCAGGAGCTGCAGAGGGAAGAGCCTTGTGTGTCCTTGGCACTACTGCAGCAGCTCTTTCCCTCTCCCCCTTTTGGCTCCATTTCCCCTTGGAACAGCTCTTCCCATGCCTGTTGTGTCCAGAAAGAACACTCTTGTTGATATTTTTTTTCCCCTTGTAGCTTATGGAATTTATAAATCACATTTTAGTTCAATGTGCGCTTTAAGAAATCACTCAGATAAGAAATTCTATTTTGTTTTCTGAATTCAGTTTCTCTGGTTTTCCATCATTAATGACATTTCCTTCCTAGCTGCAGATCATTATCTGAGAATTGCTCATGGTATCTGTTGCTCATAAGAGCTTTAATATTAAAACCAAAAATAATATTGCTGTCTGAATCAAATTTTTGTGTTAGAAAGTCAGGAGCTTCTGAATTACTTACATTACAGACACAAGTTTTGACAGCCCAGCACAGGCAGAGCCTTAAAGGAGTTCCTTACAAATGTATTTATTAACACTTTTAGAGCCTCCAGCTCAGACTGTCATGGAGCTTTTCTAGAATCACTGAATTCAAGGGAAGACATCCCAGTCATCCTCCCTGTCCCCAGACAGTGGCTTGTCTTGGCAAATGTTACCCTCTTTATTCCCAAAATGGTAACAAAGAGCTCTGAAATTCCAAACCTTAATTTCTTGTTGCTAGTTTAAACACTCTTCTGTACTTCAGGGAAGCACCTCCCTCAGGGATTAACGTGACACAAGTATAAAAAATTACTTCCTAAAGATGTAGGTGGTGCTTAGTAAGAAATTTTAAATAACCAAAGAAAACCTCAGATCTTCCCTATTCCAGGCAAGTTCCTAGGCTGTGTTCAACTCTTCCAGGCATCCATCCAAGGTGAGGTCCAAGAAAAAATGTATTATGCTGCTAAATCACAGCTTTTTATCTCTCTCTCGTTACCAGCATCCTGTGGTACCTTTTGTTTTTGCCTGCACTTTGACATTCTTGGTATTCCTGTTTTTCTTTAGATTCCCATCATGCACCACTGCCAGGAGTTCCCAATCTTTTTATATATTGTGACTCACTGGGGAATTCCTACTCCTCAAGAGGGCTGATGAGGCCTCACCTCTTGTTTCTAGGAAGCATCCCCAATGTTTTTAAATGAGAAAAACTTGGTTTTAAGCGCAAAGTTTTTCTCTGGAAACTATTTTTTCCCTTTGAAATGCACTCTGAGATACAAATTTGCTCATCTCTACTGCCACTGACCAAAAAGCAGTCAGGGAAACTTGCTGCAGGCACTGTCCTACTGGCTGCAGCCTCCCTGGCTTGTGGGATTTCCTGCATGAACTGCTCAGAAAAAGCTGGGAGTGGGTTTCAGATAACTCGGTGTTACCTGCATCCACACAAGGAAAGCTGTAGTATCCAATATAAAAAAAGTTGAAAATAAAGTCTGGCTTGCTGGGGGGGGGTATAAACATTGGCTCCCCAAAATCTTTTTATGTACAGAAGAAATAAAAGTAAGGCTAGAGATTGAACCAACACTGCCTGGTCCAGAGTGTGTAAATGAGAGCTCCAGGGTATCCTTTGGCAGATCAACGTGATCCAAGCGTTCCAGGGACACCCTTGGCACCCAGGCTGTAACACTGCACAGTGTCTGGTCACCAGCTGCTGCCAAGGAGCCGCTGCTCCCTCATCCCAGCTCCAGCAGTTAATCAGCCAGGGTTGGAGGCCAGTCAACATCAACAGACTAGAAAAGCAGAAGGGGAAAAAAAGGCAGCAGAATTGGTATTTCACAGATACCTAAATAATCACAACTCCTTTTGCTACTACTTGGCAGCATCACCTCTGTTGGGCTGCATTTACAAAGAAGTAAGTAGGAAAAACTTATTTTACAAAGGAGCAGTAGGAAATGGATCCCACGGTAAGGAATGTTGATCCACTTAGAGCAAGTCCATGGAAAGCATCTCACCAGGGCAGCTCCCTTAGTAATTTCCAGGAAAGACAAACAGCAACCAACTTACTTCTACATCCAGCTCCAGAATGTCAGCAGTTCTGTTCAGAAGAGCCCCAATGTTGGGCTTTGTTCTCCCAAAGTCTCCATGCACAAACTCTTTAATGTAGCTGGAAAACACTGGCTAAGGAGAAGTGGATTTCACAGGAAAGAAATCAAAAAGGGGGGGGGGAAAAAGTGGTTTCTTCTAAGTAATTTCTTATTATTGTATTAAGCCCATGCCTATCTTGAAGAGAGCTCCTACTTCCTTCTGGTTCTGGTGTCATAACTGCTCTGCTGACCTTTATTTTGTTTCATTCCAAACTGAGTCGTGACTTTAGAACAAATCCATAACTTGTACATAGCAGCCATCTCCAGTCTGCACTGAAGTGCATTAAATATTGTGGAAAAGGTCATTTTTGGAGGTGAAAAGTTTTCAGTTAAATTAGAAAAAAACTGAAGTGTATTTTAACCAGCACATTTTTATATCTGCCACATAGTTAATGAAAATTCCAATGTGAAATTGTGACCTAAAAGCAAATATTGTGCAGCGGATGAGCCGGCAGCGCACGGCCAGCGGCCGCCGGTGCAGCACCCGCAGAGGGGTTTTCTGGTCCAGCTTCAACTCCTGGTACAAGAAGTGAACAAAAACGTGAGGAAGGAAATGTGCAAGAAGGGTCCATAGGTTGTGGGAATCGTGTGTGGTGTTAACCAGTCCTGTCTTTTTTATTTTGTGCTCTGGTAGTTGAGTAATCTCAAGGCAAGACCGGTTTTTTTGCAAGTTTATCAAGGGAAAAAGAAGAGCCCTCTCAGAGGCCAAAGGAGGCCTCACATGAACACAAACTAATGGAATCACAAATACAGAGGAATAACCTTGAAATCTCCATAGCCCTTTGCTGGAATGACTCCAGGATTTAGCAGCTCACTCAGAGCCTCAGGGCAATCAGAAAAGAAAATAAATCCCACCCACAAAATGCTCTGTCTAAACTACAGCCAACCCCCTAGAAATAAAAGTGAGGGGAGAAAACCTTAAATGAGATTAGATCTCAGAACAGTCTTTTCAAAAGTTCATTCCCAACTCCCTTTCCCAAAGGAGAGGAAGAAGTTTGAAAGACAGCTAAGGGAAGCTAAAGGAAGAACTTCCCACCAATTGTCTCCCTGAGCTGTAATGGCTTTGAGAATGAGCTGAAGTGGTGCAACACACCAAAAACTGAACCCACTTCTCCATCAGGCCAACATCTGGATAAAGTTCTCATTCCTGCACATGCTGAGCCTTCCTGAGGCTTCTTTGCACTCTGACATAGACATTTCCACCTCCAAATTGCTGCAGCTGTGGGAGAACAGCTTTAGAGCAGAGCAAAAGAGTTTTTCTGCTCCTTTCACTTACACATGATGCTATCTAAGGTAAAAAAGGGTGCCAGATTTCCTCCTCTCCCAGGTTCTGGTCTCCTGGAAGGTGAACATTACACAAGGATTTGTTGTCTCTGCTAAAATCCCAGGTTCTGGTCTCCTGGAAGGTGAACATTACACAAGGATTTGTTGTCTCTGCTAAAATCCAACCCCTCCTGTCCTGCTGGAGTGACTGGTGAAGGAAGGAAGGGTGGTATGGAAGTCCCTATAGCAAGGGAAAGCCTGATTAAAAAACCCCAACCAAACAAAATCCAAGCACAGAGCAAGAGACAGGCCCATGGAGTGTTTAACTATTAATAGTGTTTAACTCTTCCCTAGGGCACCAGGACAGGTGCTATTTAAATGACCAACAAGAGCTCCTGCTACCTTGATATCATCTAGAAACGCGATGTCTTCTCTCTGTATTGCTTTGTCTGTCCAGATCAAGGCACTGTAGGTCTTTGTCTTCTCCTCCTCACCTTCCTTCATGCGACCAATTGCCTCTCTAAACAAAAGGAATTGATTACTCACTTAACATAAGCACAACTACACAAGGCTGTGAGCGAGAACACTTCTCAGCTCCCCGAGTGTTGCTTTGAAATCCCTCAAGGACAACGATAAACACTGACCTGGTGACAAGCTGTAAATCTCGAACCCGTATTTTGTCTGAAGAGTCATTAATTGCCTGTGATATTTAAAAAAGGAATCAGTTAGCAAAGCTGCTGGGCTGGAGAGGCAGCACGTGCTTGACGAGTTCCGTGAGGTGCCCGTGATTTACCTGCTGCAGCCTCTTCATCTCCTCCGCGGTGAAATGAATCCTGCGAGGATTCACCAGCTCGATCGCAAAGGGCCTTCCTGGCACCAGGCACGGGCATAAAACATAAAAACATGTTGTTCTAAATTAATGCTGCATTTACACAGGAAGGCTGGAAGGTGTGAAGACTGTCTGCTGTTACACAAACAGGGAGAGGACTGGCGGGCCGAGGGATGGAGCATCAGATGCAAGGGAAGAAACAAGGGACTTTTTTTTTGGCTACTAAACCCCAGTATCAGCAGTAAGTGCAAATTATGACTTCCCAGAAGACATCTTGTACAAGTCTGTGCTAATTAAAAAATAAAATAAGAAAAAAAGCTAATTAGCTTATTTTCTGTCACCTACAGCAATGCCCAGGTGCATGGCAATGTTAAATCCCACTCCCTCAGCTCAACATCTGTTGCCAGAGCTGTAACTCTGTGCTCAGGGCCAGGACAATCCCCAGCACAAGCCATGCCAAGAATCACACTACAAATCAGACAGCTACTGAAATACAGAATTGTTCATTTTTACTTTTTCTTTCCCTGCTCCCTTGGCCACAGCAGCTTCAGCAGGTTGGAAAGAGCTGACCTTCGTAAGGGACTCACGTTCAAACAGAAAACAAGGCTCCCCCACTCCACAGTCACAGTGGGGGAATTAGAAAGATCCAGCAGAAAACAAGACAGGAATCAGTCTGACATAAATAACTTAAAAGTAGGGAGTGAATAAAATAAAATGCTTTCAACTAACTGTGCCTTTCCATGCAGCCAAGGCCACTGAAAAAGGGCTCCTGTTTCAAGCTGGTTTTATGAAGCTGTTTGGTCTTTGGGAATTAATATCTAAATTTCACTAAATGCTTCAGAGATAAAATTCCAAAGCATGCCTAGTCACATGCTTGGCATTCAGCAGGATCAGTGAGAGGGGCTCCATGCACCCATTTCATCTCTGTGTTTCACAAGGGGTCTTCCAAGCCTTACCATTGCCTAGTGTCCTTACATCCACATCTTCTCTTCCAGAGGAACTGAAATTAAAGCCTGTAACAGATTTGAACAAGGAAGGTGAGCTTTTATTTTACATTTGTAATACTCTCTACAACTTTTAAAAGGTGAAATATTTTCTTTCTAAACTTGTTTGCAAAAGCTACTTCAAATCTATTTTATAAACTGGAGCCTGCACTTCACAAACTGTGGGAATTCCTATTTATTCCCAAGTTTCTTGAAGAGTACTCACAATTCTTTGGCCTGAATGAGGTTGCTACAACCAGACTAGCATATCCACTGTGAGGAGAAGAGGGGGAGTAGCAGGTTTTTTTCAAAACTAATATTTAATGCAATTTTTCCTTGGGCCTTCTATGTGCCTAATTCCACATCTCCTTAGATGACAAATGATGGGCAGTGATAATTTCATCTGGATAATCCCTGGAGAAGCATTTAGCTTGTGGAACTTTATGCACTGAGGAAAATAATGAATGGAGGTAAAAAACATGAGGGGGTCAAAAGCCAGGCAGATCCTATGAAATACCTTCAAAAACCTTCTTGGTACAAGTCATTTTATGAATTACCAACTGTTAAGAAGTTTGGTTAAGCAAAAACACTACCACATGAAACCAACAAATTTGCATCATCAGATCCACTGAGGAGCTACTTTAGCAGGATAAAAGGATCTAATTACTTCCAGATCACAGCTAAATAAAGTTTACAAGCTTTGACTTGGAAGGAAACAAGAGGGATAGAGAAACATCATTTTTTCCCATTATACTCCCATATTAAGTGGGTAGCTATCAAGAAAAAAAATCTTCTAATAATGATGAGAACTATGTGTGGTAGGAGATCTCCTAAATACTTACTGTCTGCCTTGAATTCTGCCATTAGATGCTCTGAAATTAATTCTTCCACTGAAGATTCCAGCTTCCTCTCCCCATCAATAATCCAGGGAGTCTGAGGTAAATTCCTGGAGTATTTGTTGTATCTTCCTGTAAGAGACAACCACGGTACTTCTAATCATTCTACAAACGTGAGCAAAAGCTGCAGCCTTGCACAGCACATTTAACTTCCATGGGAAAATAAATTGACAGGCTTGAGCTTGTTTAATGGCAGGAGCATTACACCAGCCCCGTGGAACACACGTGGCTGTGTCCAGGAGAGAGGCAGTAACCAGGATGGCCACTTAGGCTGGCCTTGGAGAGCCTGTGGCTGCAGTCCTGCCTCCAGGAATAACCCTCCTGTGTGAAATAATCCAGCTTCCAAGGCAGTTCTGCCATTGCCTGAAGGCTTAGGAAAAGGAAGCCAAACTAAAACGCTTTGGCTCACCACGAGGAACGCCATGCAAGGAGCAGAAATTCCCAATAATAAATCAGGAGGAATGGCAGGAATCTTGAGAGGGTGCCACATAAAGAGATTGGCATCTTTGGATGGTCCTAGTGATGCTTTCCTGGCACCTCCATTACAGGCCACAGCTAAAGAACAAGCCTGACATGGATGAGCAATGAGAGCTTTTTTATGGACAGGTTTGATAAGAAGTGAAAATATTCCCAAAGCAAGGAAATAATTCCTAAAGGCCAAAGAGCAACCCCTGCTAAAACTGCTTTCAACCTGAAACCTTGCAAATATAAAATCAAGTTCAGAGTAGCTGTGTGCATTTCTTTGGGCCTCTGACATCTCAGGGGTTTGGGGTTTCTATCATATTTTCCTATCTCGAACAATGTTTCCTTTTTGCAGTTTGAGCAGCAGAAAAAGCCACACAAACAAATGGGGAAACTGAGTAACACAGTTTCACTGGGGCAAATAATGAAAGTAGGATGACTCATCATTCAGATACAGCCTCACACTGCTAAATTCTCTTTTCATAAAATGGAAAAAGGAGAACAAGGTTTGCTTTTTTTTTTTTTTTCTCTCTCAGCTCCCCATTTTAATAATTTTAACTTTTGATCTGAACAAGAGTAGGTTTAAAAAAACAGAAGGTGTTTCTTGGTTTGACAGCCCCTGAATCCTTAAAAAAGTTGGGGTGGGAAGTGGTCGCTAAACACCAAAGGTGAGGTCAAAAGGACAATGTTGTGCTTACAAATTAAGATCCCATCTCATTTATTAAAAGCAAAATATCTGCACTGTACTCAAATTCTACTCTGGATTTAGTTCTTGAAAAATTAAATACCTGCCTGGACTGTTTTTATGTTGGAGCAAGATATAAACTATAAATGACAAGACCAGTATTAAATGACAAGCAAAAAGCAAACCCTCCGTTTTGCTCTTCATACTGTTGAATTCTGATAAAACTATCCAATAAAGCAACTTAAAATAAAACAGTGTGTTTGGAGAAGTCTAGAATGAGCTGGGTATCTTGGATTCACAAAAATGTACATCTAACTGTCTAATCAGTAATTAAAAATAAGGAATGGTTACATGAAGAACATCTGCCATTCACTTTTGCACTTTTTCATTTTCCATTTCTTTATATTCAGGATTTTTATCATCACAGTATGTTGGATTTAAATTACAGGCTGGGTTCTTTTGAACAATCATCAGTTTGCATGTATTTAAATTAGTTGTTCACAGAAAGGACTAGAAGAATGGCAGAAACTCTGGCAGGCAGAGGATAAAAAAGTTAAATCATCTCAACTCAAGGACACCCAAGTGTTGCTGCACTACCTGTCCCACCCAAACCTTTATAAATCCCATGAAGATTTGCAGTTTTGGATGGGATAATATGCAGAGAAATCCAGATGGTGAAAACCTCTGAATGCAAATCAAAACCCAAGGAAGTGAACAGCACTGCTAGGAGCTTGCTGGTGTGGAGGTGCCTTTCCCAGACCATTATTCTGAGGGGATTTGTAATTTCTAACTTTTGACAAAATAATATCTTCAGCAAAGTTCAAATATAATTTCTTCCCCTTTCAAACTGCTCTTGGATAGAGCTGGATTTGTTTCTTTGCTCCTTACACTTCATTACAGGAATTAACAAACAGCAAGAATCCTCTGGGTCTCAGGGCAGTGTTACAAAGCTCTCTTCAAGACAACACATCAGCACAGAAATGGATCACTTTACCAGCCACAAAAACTGCACCATTATTGCACTGAATTTCCAGAGCATCACAGAGGTTCTTTGGTGAACTTGGGGGACACGGAAAATGCCTGTATTAAAAGTAAAAACAGAGTAAAACATATTATCACTACCAGAACATGATGAAGAATCACCAGAGCAGTAAAGAGTGCCTACTTTTGGCTTCCCACTGTGTGTGATTTTTACTATACTAACAGCACTAACAGTGTTTTCTTAAAACTTTTGGAAATATGAGAATATTTCTTGTAAAGGGAAGCTTGCCTTACAAACTCTAAAGCTCAAAATAATCCTTTCAATTAAAAGATCAGGAGTGATTTTCTATTGCCAGAAAAAAACCCCCACATTTTAACCAGTAAAGCAACAGGATTTAAACAATCAGAAGTTCTTTTAGAGCCATCCTACCACTACATACCCGCTGAACATTTTCCTCCCTTCCCCAATTCTATACAAAAGCACAATACTAAGAAATAGTTTTGGTATATACTTACTTGAGAAAATCCTCTTCTTTTATCTTCTCCAGGGCTTTTATAACTGCCATTCTGGTGAAAACAGACTGCACAGTGAAATAAAAAAATGAGTCAAGAACTAAGAAAAGCAAAGAAAGGATATGCCCGAGGAAGAAAAAAGCACTGAAACTTACACTGTGCAGTTCTGTCACTGCTCACTTGGGAGCCCAGATCCAAATTTGCAAAACAGTTTAAAACCAGAATCCTAAATCCATGAACAGAAACCTAAAACAGCTTCATTTTCAGGAGTTAAATATACCTAAGCTCAGCTTTTATGTCAGTGACTGCAGGCAGGTAGTTCTGCTGAAAACAAGCCTGTTGAGTAGGAATCTCAAGTTTCTGGAGTTCAAAAGTTGATTGATTTTCAGAACTAATGGCTCTGAATGGTGGGGCTGGGCAGTTCCTCCTGTGGAAAACAAGCAGCTTCCCACTCCCAAGCTGCAGCCAAAGCTGCAATGCCAGCACCAGGAGCAAAGTGCTGAGCTCTGTGTACAGCCAGCTGCTGCTGGGATAACTCCAGTGAGAATTTACCTTCCTAGGACAGGAGCAACAAGTGTTCTCACAGCTGAGGTGAAATCCTGCTCTAGGAAAGCTGAGGACAGGAGAAGGTCTCTAAATGAACCTTCTAATCAAGCATGGTCAGGTCTTGAAATCCACCTGGGATGGAGCCTGCTCCACTCTGTTTCCTCAAGGCAAAATGTTTTTTCTTGCATCTCCTCTGAACTCATTTCAGTGTATTCCTGCTGTGTCTCATCCATCCACCACGCTCTGTGCACAACAGCCTGGCTCCCTGCTCTCAATAATCTCTTTTGGCACTAGGAGGAGATTCAGCTGAATCCTCCCCAAAGCCTTCACCAAGAACCTTGAAGTTCCTCAGCCTCCCCCACGAGGCATGTGCTCCAGCCTTGGGACTGCCCTGATGGCTGTCTGCTGAATTTCCAATTTAATGGTGTCTTTATTGCAAACTGGATTGGAGATTTGGGGGAAAAAAAAAATACAAAAAAAAATACTGTGTCACTCTTTGGGACAATTCAAGTCTTGGCTCTAAAGAGTTCCTGGGTGTCTTCAGGAAAGCTGCTCTTTCTCCTTCTAGGCATAAATTGGAGATAACAGCACTTCTCTTCCTGATAGAACAGATGAGCAGGAAAACCCTGAAAGCAGCAGCAGGTTAAAATAACCATCTACACAGACAGCACAGAAATTTTCCCTCAGAAGGCAGTTTTTACACCACTTCTATGATTAACACAGCCCTTGAAGCCCAGCTCCTTTGTGAGGACAAACCTCTGACAGCTCTTCAGAGCTGTTATTTTTCTTTAGATTCCCCTACATTTTGTTGCCTGTGTGGATTTAACAGCCAGGCCCTGCTGGTTTAGCTCCTTATGTGGGATTTCCCCCCTTTTAAAGGACAGCAATGCAGCAAGCAGTGAGTTATAACAATACAACCCTGCTAAAAAAAGAGCAGCGTTTATTGGTCAGGTGGAGCAGAGTCAGCAGAATTCCTGGGCCAGATTCTGCCTCTGCCAGATGTTGGCAGACTCTTCACCAGAAAGAATAAAAGGCCTTGCAATGGCTTCTGACAGGAGTTACTTGTTCTCCCTCTGATCACATCCACTGTCCCACTTGTGTCAGTTTCCCTCCGACTGGTTTTTTATCCTCGCGTGTCCCCTTTTCCGTCAATGGTTGCGTGCGTGCTCAGGGTCTGCAACAAGTGGCAAGGTCCCTTTTCTCTCCCCCCTCCTCCAGAGGCAGAAAGGATAAAACCATCCTGCATGTATCCTGGCTTTCATTCAGATCAGAGCACATGAAAACTGCAGTGTGATCATTTCCCTTTTGGCTGCCGAGTCTCATCTTCACAATGTGACTTATCTGAACTGCCTCACCCACAGAGAGCTCGAGGATCATCTTTTATGCTACTTTTGATGCATGACAATCAAATTCCTACATCTTAAGGGAGGTATTTACAGAGCACCTTCCTAAAATTATGGCCTTCAGACAGCCTGGAAAATGAATGACCTAAAGAAAAGCACCGAGCTCTTGGTTCTCCTAAGCTGCGAATTGTGAAGTGAATAAAGGAGACAACTTTATTTTCAGGCAGTTGAAAACTAGAGAGCTTTTTGATGAAGGAAAAGCAGACATTGAGCACTGACTGAATACCCAGGCAAATTGTAGCTACTGCTGTGAAATTCTGAATGTCAGAGCAGAAATACAATGATGAGATCTTACCTGTTTGTTCTTCGCTGGTTTGAAACAGTCTGGGCAGGCTGTGGCTCTAAACACAGAAATGAAAATTAGCTGCTCCTCTTACAGAGAAAGAAATAAAAAGACACACTCACAAGCATAGCATGTAAATGGTTTTTGTACCCATACATCCAGTGTCTCACTTCCACAGCTTAGCTCAGAGCAGATCTTCAAACTCCCTTTATCCTAAGCCACAAACGGTGCAAGATGTGCATTGCTTGATCCAGAGAAATCATGGACAAAGCTCTGCTCTTCTGCTCTGACCAACACCCTGTCTCAGGTTTGAGATGGGATGGAAAAGCAGAACAGTTTATCTTTTAGTCCTTCCCAATCCTTCTCAATAAAGGTCATGATTAATAATTTAAGTTCTAGGCAAGATTTACTGACACCTTGAAATCTGTACTTGCCGCTCTTAGACAATGCTCACTACAAACCTGAGATTCAAACAGTCCCTTCTGGAGAGGAAAATTCAGTTTCCCACTGAAAAAGTAACTCCAGGTGTTCACCACCACTTGTGCTTTGCCTGTTCAAAAGGAAACTGTTGGCTTTTCACAAAAGTGAAAGCCAAGTCAGTGAAACATTTTTTCTGAGTAGTGTAGAGGAAGTTTTTGTTCCTATTAGTGCATTTCTATGCATGCAGTCAGAGATGATTTCTGGATTTCTGTGTCTGCAGTCAGAGGTATTTCTGACCTCCAACTCAAATTTCTTGCTGGTGCTTTTCAACACCTCTATAACTCCTTCAGATTAAGGGAGCAGGTTTTGCTGTTTCTACACAAACAACTTCCCTGGCCAGTCTGTGACCCAAAGCAATGCAAACTCCCTCTTCCAAAAATTTCAATATCACCTTGCCTTTAAATATGAATTGACAAGAGCCAATTCAACCTTCCACGTCAAACCATGGGTCATTTCAGCACCCCCACCTCCACACAACTGTGTAAGAACAGGTGAGAAACAGCAGGTGCCATGCTTGGAAATCCAATCCAAAAGCACACCTGGAGTTCTCCAGGTTGAGACAAAGTCCTACTTTGCTTCCACAGAAACCATGACTGTCACTACTACGGTGATAATTCCCAAATTTTACCATATTTACATGAAAACCAAAGCACTGCCCAGAGCCAGCCACTCACACAAGTAGAATGCCTTGGCACCTCAGGAACTACTCTGTAATTAAATTAGGTGATGTGCTGTTACTCCAGAAAGTGTCTCCAACCTTAATTGCTGCTTAAGTGTGCTACAAAGAGAAGGCAAATAAAGGGAAATTGTCAGGTCACATGGAACAAACCAGAGTAATTGGAATGTGGAATGGAACTTCTTTACAGCTTTCACCTCTACAACTGCTCTGCTTGGAGCACTAACACTGGTACCATAACAGGTTCAACAGCAATATTCCTGAAATGCCAGAAAAAGCATGGAAAGATGAGCACAAAATACCAGTGAAGAGGTTTCAGAGGAAGGAAGCAAAACGAAATAAATTAGAACAAAAGGGTGCAGGATGCAGAAACACCTCAGTTCTCTACAGGATTGTGGGAACCATTATTTAGAACTGTAGTCTGGCCCTACAACTTTCTCCCTCTTTTGCCCAGTCTTGAAGAAGCTGGAAAGGAAAGATGTTCAGGAAATATTGGTAATTATTGTTCCTAATACTGGTTCCTTCCTAAATTTCCATCCCCTCATCCCCTACCTCAAGATTCCCCTCAAGACAAACAAAAGATGCAGCTGTGGAAAACCAAGAAGGATTCAGCACTTAAAGATCTGGCTTAAATTGCCAGAAGAGAAATCAGGAAATAAATAAAGGCTACAAGAGAAATCTCTAGTCTCAAGAAATGAATTCATGTTTCAACAGACCTATCTCTGCTCAGCCTCCTTCTATGCTAAGATTTAACTTGTAGTAGGTACAAATTAACTGAGTGAAACTTTAGGTTTTCCAGGAAGCATCAACAAACAGGAAGAGTGATCCTAATTTTCCAGAATATACTACAGCTAGAATTTGAGAAATCAGATTAAATAGCAGCTAAATTCACAGAACTATTTTGCTTTCTTGTGTACAGCAGGTGCCCTGCTGGGCCAGGCCAGAGGCTGTGTATAGTGAGGGAACTTCTGTTTGTTTTCATCAACCAGCTATGTTGGTTTAACTCACTTTAAAGCCTTTCTTCCATGTGTCCTATAGAAGCAGGAAAAGCTTAAGTATGATCTCAAAAGATTCCCCCACCTGCAATTACATGGTCCAAATTTTTAAAAATGATACAGGGAATGTTTTTGAGGAGGGCTGAAATTAAAGAACTTATCTGAATGCTCTCCTTCCAGTTCAAATCAGAATTTTGGATGTTTTTTTTATTGGCATCAAAGAGCAGAATTAACCGGAGATGGTGTAACTTCAAGCTCTGCAACTTTGTGTGGATATGAAGAAACCTAGATGCAGACCACATTCTAGTTTATAAATACTGCATATTGTGCTCTGTAACAAATCCAAACCAACAATGTTGCACAACATTTAGATAAAGATCTTTTGTTACTTGTAGAAAAACTTACAGGAAATGGCACTCCTCCTCTGTTTCTGGGTGAGTGAAGACCACGCTAACTTCAAACAGACTCTAAATTAAAAAAACAGAAAGAAGAACAAGGAGGTGGTAATAATTTTTTAAACAACCAGGGAGGACATTCTCAAAACAAGTAGTTGTAGGAAAACAGTAGAGACAAAGGAGAGAGTAACCCATTTATTTATGTTTAAAGACATTAAAAGCTGTGCCAGAGCAGCACTTGCCTTTCTGAAGTCACCAAAGATGACGTGAGAGCACCTGAGAGCTGTGAGTGACCTGCCCCGGTTCCATCCTGTGCAGGGCTGAGCAGAGGCAGCCAAGGCTCAAAGCCTATTACGGTCACTAAACCCCAGAGCCCTCCCGGGAGTGCAATCAAGATAAAAACCCTGCAGTAGTCACCACTGTAAAATTTTGTCAGGGGCTTTCTTTGCAATGCCTGCATGGCCTTGGGGCAAAGCAAGGCAACACGTCCTGGTGGATTGACAGCTAGCCCAGGAACTCCAGTGTAATCTCAATTCTTCCCCCAATTCCCTCTCTGGCCTTGGGCAAACAACGCTCATTACTTCTGTTACTCAGATACCAGCACACCTCAGGAGGGCTATTGAAAAGACTGGCTAATATTCAAGTGCCTTGTAGATAAAGGGCACTAGAAAAACAACTCTTGTGGTACAAGGATGTCTGGAGTGGCTTCGTGCCCACGTGGTGTGTGGAGCTTTTGCTAACTTGGTGTGCAAGAAGTTTGTTTCTTCCTGGATCATCTTCAGAGTAACTGAGTGGGATTTTTCTTCCCTAAGACAAAAGGGATGCTTTCAATTAGCACTCCTGGGAAAACACAGCCTGTAATTATTACGGAAGCTGACAAATCAACATAAAGACTAAGTGAATCTAGTCCTGGGGTCAGTGCTATGGCTGGTGACAAGTAAAACCTACAGGCAGCCACGGCTGCAGAAAATTTACATTCAAGGCAATTGAAGGTGCTTCTGAATTTGGCAACACCTGATTGCCATGTTCAGTCAGTGGCCTTCAGAAAGATTTTTAAGGATATTAATCAGAATCTGCAAGTTGAAAACAGTTTGGAAGAAAACACATTTCTATTGCCTGCTTAGTGATATTGCAGGTCCCAACAAGTCCATTTCTAGTGCTCATTAAAGTGAACAAGGACCAGTCTTTTCTCTTAAAGTACACTTCAGAAATTTATTTTATCCACAGAACCTGAGCAACTGAGCTCCAGAGCAGTAGCAAGTGATGGCAGTGACAGGAGAACAGGGAAGGAATGTGTGAGCATTCCTCAGCCTCTGCAAAACAGGGTTCCTGGAACAGGAGACAACTGGAAAACTCTCATTAACAAAAGGAGGATGGCAGCACAAGAGATTTAGCACAAGCCTGTGGTTTTTTCAGAAGATGCAATGATCTGTGTGTGCAAAAATGAACATTGGGCCCCTCAGGACTCCTACTTGGAGATCTCTGGTTAAAAGAACTTCCCCCTTGCTTTTCCCTACGGTGAATTTAGGAGCCACTCAACTTGTTTCTCTCTTAATAAGGAAAAAAGGAAACATTTTTATTTCCCTACCATAAGCGTATAAATATACACACCCCAACATGCACGAAAAGAGAATGATGAAACAAAGAAGAAAGTTTTCTGTTATTTATACAAGACCTTTCCATCAGCAGGAACACCCAACTCTTCTGACAACTGGGGATGAATTATCCACTTATAAGCTTCTTTCAGCTGAACGATGTCATCCTTTGCCAAGGGAAGGCCCAGATTTCTGAATCACAAAGAAATAATGACTTGCACAGGGGTCTGTCAAAAATAGATACATGACGTGCAACATTTCAAGAGGAACTTAAGTAACTACTGCCAAGTAAAACAGATTATTTTTTTTTTTCTGTGAGCTGAGGAAACTGATGCCAGAGCTTCCTGGGAGATCAAAAGTTGCAAGAGTCTTTCCAGAGTCTGCCCAGAGAAAAGCTGAGGAAGAGAGAGATGCATTTCAAACCACTTGTCTGGGAAGTTAGAGAGCAAAAGAGATAAGAAACCTCAAGTAAGTTCAAAGCAGGTTAAAAAGAAAGAACAAAATACACATCTCAAACAAAATTCATCTGCCACCTTATTCTTTGTAAGCATCAGGTAAACTGGACTATGAATCAACATTTATATAGAGAAAAGGTGTCTGTATGAAGAGTTCTTGTCAGAGAGACAGACAGCAAAAGCAATGGCTCACCTCATCTGCTGCTTCACCCCCAGCCAAGCAGCACGCTGCAGGTCACCAGCCATGCCCAGGGAAAAGAGAGGAAAAAACAAAAGCAAGTGAAATTAAGGCTCAGAACTCCCAACAATCTGAGAGACTCTTTGCAAAAGGAGAAGTGTTTTTAAAACTTGTGACAAAAAGGAAGTATCAGGAATTTAGCTTTTGCTTCAGAAGTGGAAAGATGGAATTGCTGTGAGTTTTTATTTCTAAGACATCACTTTGCTTTTCACATCATAGGCTATCTGGCTTTAAAAAAAAAAAAGAAAAAAAAAGAGGTATCATTAAACACTTTGAAACCTGCTATTAATACTGTAACTACAAAAAGACTGTAAGTCATCAGTTATCTTCCATATATGAATAAAAAGGGTCTAAATGAATGGTATATGAAAGCTGATTGACATAAATTAATAAACCCCCAAATTCAGCTATCATCCATTATAAAAAATTGAAACAAAAATATACTTGGTCTTATGATAATCACAGAATTGGCTTCTTATTTACAGCACACCATTCAGTTTAGGTGAATAGGCTAAATATGGAAAAGGTGAAGAACAGAAGGAATAATTCTAGAAATCAGATGGGAACCCAAATGTTCGAGTTCACTAACAATTAGAAAAAAGAGAAGAACTCCTACAGTGAAGCACAACAACATTTTCAGCTCTCCTCTACTAACAACAACTACAAAATACATTAGGACTGGCAGGAAACCACTTAATAATTCAGCCTGTGTCACCATCCTCACTGAAGATGAATTCCAAAAATCAAGTTGTTTGACTTGAATCCACCACAGTGAAACTTTTCAGCCTATAGGCAGCAGACTGTTAAATCCCTTCCCCGTTTTTCATTTTTTCATATACTTAAAGAATAACCTCCTCCAAACTCTGCTGAAAGAATCACTGTGCATTGTCAAGGAAATAATTCTGAGGAAGAAGTTTGAAAACAGGTCTCAAACTTCAGGAAGAAGGGTCAGGATCACACGGATATCAGAAGAAACCACATCATGGTTTTCCATCCATGGAAAACCCTAACCCTAACCCTAACCCATCCCTTTTCCATACAGATAAGGAACTCAACAAAATAAGTCTATCATCCTTCACTTGGTACAACTAAAAGAATGAGGGAACCCTAAAGACAGTGCCAGAAATTCAGAGGGAAGAGGGATGGTGGAGAAAGGACACAAACTTTGTTAGATCCATCATGCACAAACCCACACGGCTGAACTAATCAAATGCAGTTGTAGTGATGAAATCCCGTTTGCTCAAATCCACTGTGATTCAACATCCTGCATTTGAAGACAGTATGAGTAAGGCTGCTTCACTTGAAGTATATTGTAATCCTGTTTGCATAATAACCCAGATAAAATCATAAATAAAAATAGCTTCCATTGAAATTCCTTGAGTGTAGCTCTGAATTAGAGGATGTAACAACCACAGAACTGGGCCTAGGAATCTGCATTTGACAAATGCCAGTTTACAAAGAAACCTCTCTCATGCCTTGATTCAGAGCACGTGCAGGTTTGGGATGGTTGGGACTCAGGGGGAGGCTAATCTCATTCTTCTTCCCTGTTTTCTTGGGATAAAACTACAAAATAGACAAAACTTCTGCACAGGAGCAGCCATGCTAAAATGAGACCACAGGTCAAATTTCATCTCCTGTCTCTCTCGACTTCCACAATGAAAGAGAATTAAAATTACTTTTCCCCTTCAATTAAGGGGAAAAAAATAGATGAAGCACAGAAGCCAAAAGATCCCAAATTCCAAATCGCATTCAACCACTAAGACAGCCAAACTCCTCTACTCTCTCCCAGCTGAATGTGGAGCAGGGGATCAGATCCCTCCACTTCGTAATTACTTCATGTTTGTGAAGTGGTTTGGAAATGAAAAATGCTCATTACAGAGCTGAAGCCTGCAGGGCAATGCTCAGCAGCAAATCCATCTCTGGAACACACCAGCCCAGGCACTGTATTGATTAGGAGCTGCAGGATATTATTCTGGTGCTATCTGAGGGAGCACAATGGCAACAGTTGAAATACCCCGTGCAATCCCAGCCACAGCATTGTTTCAGTGCATTAGAAAGGAGCTTGGAGATGGGGAATTCCAAGATGAGGCACAGGCAGCCCTACAGGGAGTAATGACTACAGATGTTATTTGCATCAATGTCCTTGTAGCAAGCACCAGGATGATGGATCACGACTGAGACCACAGGCAGAGCCAGCAGTCACCCTTCTGAAGGGCACCACTCACTTCATATTCTAATAGAGCTGTCTGACATAAACTTGGGACTCCTGTATTTATGATTTATTTCAATCAAATCTCCTACTTGTGGAAGGAGGCAATTGCTTCCCTGCATCACAGATACAAATACTATGCAAATGTAGATTTTATGTCCCGCTCTTCCCCAGCTCCTCTCGTACATTTTAGACTTGGCAGGATGACAACTGTCATAATTAAATGAGATGAAGGTAATACTGAAAGGCAGTTTCTGATTTTTTTTTTGTTAAAAAAGATGATGGAGAAAATCTGTGTGCCACACCAGAGGGCAGAGGGAGAGAGGCTGCCTTTGGGTGTTCTTTGATGATAGGATTCCACATGCTCTTGTACACAGCAGGTCAAAGAATTAAAAGCAGAATTTAAAAAATTGCCTCTTTTCAGCACAAAGCATGTTGAGATATTCTGATACCTGATTTTGATACTTTCAGGCATTTTTACATACTGTATTGCTACTTTTCTGTGGCTGTAAAGCAGGTTCTCACCTGTCTTTTTTAAGTGATAAACTGATAGGAGGTAAATAAAGCCCCATGATTTTTAAAGTTCTTTCTCCACCATCACCCCTTTTCACCCCTGCATTTGGAGCAAACAGCTGCTTCAGCACTTGACAAGACTGGAAGGATGGAATGGAAAGGAAGGCAGAAACTTCTTAATCCAAATCTTCTCCCAGTCAAACCAAAAGTGCTTGCAAAGGGAACAGATCCAGTTTTGGAGCTTCCTACTCATTCCTTTCATTGGAATCCATCTATTGATTTGTGGGCAGAACAACTCTGACTCCCTTGGCTGTCCCAGCACCGCTGCTATGTTGCAACACGAGCCCCAGGCAGCGAGGACATCCCTCACCTGAACTGCAATGCAACACCACCCTCTACCGAGGCTTCCTGCAAACATCAGGGGCTCTTGGATCGCCTCAGCTGACACCAGGCTTACAGCTGGAGTAAAGCTTGCTAAAGTCTGACCTACGTTTGGGGTTTGCCAGAGCATCACAGGCATCCAAATACTCACCTAGCCTGAAAGTGCTTTTTGACAGACCTCATTTTCTGGAGGCATCAAAAAGCAAACTGGGAATCAGGGCGGTTCACCCAGCCAGAAAGGACAAACTAAACACACCAAGTGTGCTCAGTTGATGGTGGGAAGTAGAGAATCTTTATGCTCCAGAAGATTTTGGAGTAGAGTATTTGTTATCTATTACAGTGGCACTTGCCCAAGATGCCACAGCACAAATCACCACTACACGTGCAGGAGGTTATTTACCAAACTCTGGGAGCAGAATAGACCTCACCACAGCTTTACAGAGAAATCTAACACCATCTCCCCTTCCTTCTGCCATGTTCACTGAAGCCTCCACCACATCTTAACCCCAGCAGGCACCTCCTGTACAGATTGATGTGTTGCCCTTTCAAACACCACTTTTGCATCACTTTTAGAACAGTGCTTTTGCATCGTTTTCTAGCAGAAAGCAGAGAAAGACTGCAAAGTATCTCACAACTAAGTGTATTTCCCCATCATTTAAAATGCTGAACACTTCAAGAGTTCATCCTCAAATTCCTTCATTTGCATTCTGCACTACCAATTATCATTTATCCCTGGAAAGGCACCAGCTGTGCAGTTCTGTCTCTGAGAAGATCCACAAAGCAGGGCTGGCATCTGCTCCAAAGGGAACAATTCACTGAGGGTTTCAACAAACTCCTTTTAGGTCTTCAGATGGAAAGTAACTCCTGGGCTAACTGAAAACTGAAGTGACTCAGGCCCTTTATTAATTACAATAATACTCACAAAGAAGGGGAGAGGAGATTTCACTTTGGGTTTTTTTAAATAATACCAATTAAAAATCAAACCACTTCCAGCGCATACATTCTACAGTTACTCTCTTAAATATGTATTTAATTATTTAAGTTATTATTTGAGTTACTTACCTCCCTGACAGACAGCTGTGGGGGTAGTGACACAGAAAATACAAAACTGGTGAACTGGTAGTCAGCAGAATTAACTTTTTGGCACACCTGTAAGAGAAGGAGCTTAATATGAAACCACAGCAATGGGACGGAGCTGATAATTTTTTTCTAGGATAATCACTGTGAATTCATGTTCACACACACTCAGAGAGATGCTCACCTTACAAACCAGAGTAATCACTAACAACTTATTGAAATATAAGCTTTCCTGTCCTGTTAAAAAGAGTTACTACTCAATAGTATCCTTGGTGCTATGAAACAACCAAACTCACTATTTTAAGGCCAGGACCAATTGTACATTGAAATTTTAGGTGAAATCAGCATCTCAGATAAGGAAATTTATGTATCAAATAATTAGGTTTTGTGGTGCCTCAACAAGTGCCATCAGATTTTCCATTGCTACTGAAGAGAGTAGCTCTGAAGCAAATCTTAGCAGTGGATTCTGAAAAAAGATACATATTCTGCCCACGGAAACAAAAAAGAAACAATTACATTCTGCAACAACAGAAACTATACACTATGATTTCTGTCTCGTCACATTTTTGATGCATTCCTGCTATTAAATCAAATCCTTTTCTATCAAAACTCTGTTAAATATCTCAGATGCCAGTGTGAGTTTTCTAGCTGATATTTCAGTTTGTCACATGAGCAGTGCAATTGCTCAGAGATGGCATTTGCAACACTCTGTGTCCACATTCTCTCCTAACTCACATTTTCTCTATTTTCCACAATCTGTTGCATCACCAAAACATTTTCTTCCCCTCTGGTACTTCATAAAGACATGTTCATGCTGCATTAGAAAGGTGTAGTTCAGAGAACAGCACTTGATGACTCCTCATTTTCCTGTCACATAAAAAAGGCGAACAGAGATCGCCAGTTCCACCGAGGTTTTCCTTAAAAGCAGCTGAACCTCAGGTCATGTCCTGAATTCATGTAGCCACATATCTGTTAGTCCTTTTCTTAGGAAAGTGTGCTCCCTGCAGTCATTCCATTGCACCTGCACTGCTATTTTTTTAAAAAAAGTGCCACTATGACAAAGCTTGGGCAAAATTTGGTCCCACCACAGATGCAAATTCCCAGCTGCAGGTGTGCAAACACTGCCCAGGAGTAGGATGGAGTAGGATTCTGCCTCCTACATTTCAAATCTTCGAAACAGGCAAATGTTTTGGTCTGCTGTCTGGTCTTTTTCTTTCAAAAGAAAGAGAAAACATTTACTTGGAAAAAAAAACAGCAAAAAAACTTCACAGTGTTTCCAGTCACCTGCTCTGTCCTGTAGGCCCAAACATACACAAGCTCCAAAAAAGTACCCCAAAAGGCTACAAATTTACCTTTTTTACAAAGTCAGCCTCACAGAACTGCTGGAGAATTCCCAAACACACGTTGCAAACCTTCCCAGACGAGCTCTCCGTGGCAGTATTCCCACTGTCAGCCGAGGGCAGCTGCAGGATGGCTCCGTTGTGGTTCACATCATCAGCACCTTCTTCCCTGTGTTCAAGTCTGATTCTCTTACAAGGTGGGTCAGCCACATCCAAACAGACTGTGCCTTCATTTTCCTGACTGTTCTTCAGAAATTCCTGCAAATCCTTCAGCAAATCCTAACACAAACAGAGGAATCACACCGTGGTTTGTTTGTTCCTCTTTAACAAGCACAATTCCATAAGGCAGTATTATTCCAGCTGAGGCTTAGTGTATGTAATTAAAAACATGGAATTTATGCCCAAAGACATCTTTAAGACACAATTCAACAGCTCCAAGCTGCATTTCTCTCAAAATAGAAACTACCAGAGAAAATATTGCTGAATAGACTTGTTAATCATCCAAGAATGAAAACATTTTCTGACTTGCAGAAACACATTTATCTTTGCCCCATCACTATTCCATGAAAAGAGACACTTAGTGCCTTCTTGTAATTTAGACTATGTTAGAATTTAATTCCCTCAACTCCACTAGACCAGGAAGAGAGCTGGCCATTATAACTAAAAGAAAAGAGAGCAGACACAAGTGGGGGTGAAATTAAACACCCACAGTTCTTACACAGAGTAAGAACTTTGTATCAGGAGAGAAGCCTTCAAAAATTAAGCATTACCTGCATGTCTCTGATTCCCGGAAGGATGAGAGACAAGACATAGTTCTGGAAGAAGGATTTATTAAAAGGCTTTCAGTAAGGAAGAGAGCAGTTACCGTGCTGCAACTCAGAGGAAAATCAGGTAGAGATGCAAAAAGATAAAAAACGGCAGAATGAACAAACACTCCTCAAATAATTGATAAAAAATGGAAAAGGATAGGGAAGAAAGAAGTTAAAAATTAATTGTGTAGAGTCTAAACTTGAGAAAAGGTAAAACAATCAAGAAAGACATCAGCAGACACAAACATAAAGACAGGGGATTAGAGCAAGCTAAGAAGGATGGCTAATAACACTATGGTTCTCTGATTTATCTTTTTTTTTTTTAAATTTACCTTTGCAATTCTTCAGTTGCATCCCCCTACCAATTCTGCAATTTCATGCAAATTTCCTTTACATTAAAGGAAAAAACACAGTTTCCCATAATTCCTTTTCCTTTCAGGCCAAGAGCCCAAGAACACAACAAAGGACAAACCTGGTGTGGATGTCTGTAGAGCATCTGTGATCCCACGCAGCAGAACCTCAAAACACATCGTGGGCAAGTGCCAGTGTTGAGTAAGAACTGAACAATTGGTCTGTCCTTCTCTGTCAGCGAAGACATGCTGGGCAAATCTAAAATTCAACACAGGGAAGTAAAAAGAAAAGCTTAGAACTAACACAGTTCAGCAATTCAATAGTAAAAAGACTCAGCTGAGACTTAACTGCAGCATATTTGGAGTAAGTGGAGGTTTTTTTGTCCTCTAGAAAAAATTTGAGATACATGTTTGTTTTAAATCAGAGGCACAAGAGAAGTGGAAGACCAACCCAAAAAAGACCACTGAGTGGAGGAAAAACTTCTGTATTTCTTAGGTTTTTCCTAGAAAACCTGACCTTGAGTTCTGACCAGGAAATGCTGAGCTTTTGCCCAGTGTTACCTTGGATAAAATAGATGACATGCTAATCTTTACTGAATGGAGGGTGGAGCTATGACATATGAAGGCAATTTTAAAATGGGAATTCCTCCTAAAATTGCAGTGACTAAAGAATCAGCGTGTTAAAATCACAGGGAGAAAAAAAATACAAATAAGAGGCTCAAGCCATCCCCTTTTGTCACACAAAGTTTCTCCAATTTTTTTAAGATTTACTTCCCTTTGCAATATAGGACTTGTGTTCTTGTGAGAGATCTCACAATGCTTTTTTTTCACCCCTAAAATGTTATGGCTAATTTGGTTTCCTATCGTTTTCTCTGCCCAGAACTTTAGAAAAGACTGATTTTTTTTTTTTGGCCAAAATTTTGTGACAGGATTTTTTTGGAAGAAGAGAAATTCCCAGTGATGTGCTCATCCTTCCTGGACATCTAGGAAATTTCAGGAGGCACATAAGGATAACCATAGTTGTTCAGACTGAAGGTTTAATGAGTCAATTGTCACTCATTAGTGGGAACTAATTCAGCAAGGAATTCCACAGTGCTAATGAACCGCCTGATTTTGCTTTGGGCTTAGCTCCTGCAAGCAACATTTGATACTCTCCTAGTTCTTGTGTCCCAAGGGATGGGATATATCCATGTTCTCCATGCCAGCCCCAGACTGTTACACCTGCAATATCCAGTCCTGCTCAGAAGTTCCTTGCACAGCCATGGAAAACCTCCACAGCACGGAAAAGTTATTAAATTCAATGAATTTCCTTAGTCCTGGCTCTGGATGCTTTATGGCAAGCTGTAAAAACTAAGGGCTACCTGCAAAACTTCAAAGCTGCTTTTAGAGAGAAAGAACAAACACAAACAAACACACTTTTAGGTAACTGCAATCCCAGTGCACCTCCACTGACTCAAATACCGGCACGGTGTGACACAGAAGGGCAAATGTGGCAATATTCCTGACATCTGGTGCCGCTGTGAGGGGAGGAATCGGGGCCGCGGCTCCGCCGCAGCACCTCAGGGCAGAGCTCAGAACCCCTCATGTGTGAGGGGGAAGGGGAGCTCAGCAGCGCGTTCCGGCTCCATTCCCGCACCATTCGCATTCCCCCTCCCATTCCCGGTCCGCTCCCATCTCCATTCCCAATCCCGATCCCGCTCAGGAGCTCCTTCCGGCTCCGTTCCCGCACCATTCGCATTCCCGCTCCCCTTCCCGGTCCGCTCCCATTCCCAATCCCGGTCTCGCTCACCCCTCGCTCGGCGGCCCGCGGAGCCGGCACAGGCCCGCTCAGCAGAGCAGCGGAGGGCATCGCTCGGCCGGCGCGGCGGGGCGTCGCGTCCGCAGG